GACCACTAAACCTGTGTTCAGTTCCGATCACACACTTCTCCTTACATGATGGATGCTGACCATGAGAATACAGAGTTCATTCATTCTAGGTTACACAACACCAAATGTTTTCCCACAGACTTCTATAGTAACCTTATATTTTTTTTTAAATTATCCAGGCTATCAACAGCCATTCCATGTACACATGGGTAAAGTCTGTCCTTTAAACTACAATACAACGCACAATTTCTGGCCAAATTTTCCGGCTAACTTTCTGAGCACAGGAAGCTGAACAAATCAAGCCCAGTTCCGCATCAAATATCACCTACTTGAAAATATCTGTGCACACATAAGCATAAGTCACGGTGATAAAAATGACAGCACAAAATACTTAAAATTGTGGTAAGTTTTAATTACTGGAAGGGTGTGCTTTTAAAAAACATAAACATCTTACTCTATTTCATCCAACCACAGCTGTCACATGTCTCTGTCTCTTCAGTTACGTACCGGCTCAGCGAGCAAGCGATTCGGCCTTAGTGTAGTGGAACCCTTTATAGGCTGCGCCTTTGCACCATTCATGCACTGAATTAAAGTTTGGCACAGCTACAATCGTTTATTGTTCACAGATATGGAAAATAGATATTAAGAACTTAAAAATCAGTTATTCCTTGTACCAAATCACGAATCGTTAGGAATGAAATCAGATGACAGGTGATAGAGTAATCTATTTTAAAGTGCCTTGTGATACCTCGCTCTGCAAAAGTTCTATTTGATTTAACAAAATGAGGGTCGAGTTTCAAATTGGTTTACATCGACCAAGACTGGCTTTTGACCTAATAAATAGCATATCTTTATCTTTATCTAATCTGTAGCATATAAATTCACCTAATATTCATATTAATATTGTAATATTTATTCTATGTTGAAAATTCAATAAAAATATATATAATTACAACGTATCTATGCATCAAATTTATTATATGACGTTTGCTGTGTGAACCCAAAACTCGAGTCAGCAAATCAAACTCAAACCACTCTTATTCATAAAAAGATAGTAACTTGCATGATGCGATCCAGGTCAAGCAGCAGCCTCTTTTGTTTGTACACGTACACGTTACTCCCAACATTTAAATATATGAGGGTAATACCACTTACAATATATTTGCATTTAAACAAACTCTAATTTATCACAAATCCATACTCATATCATATTCATATTGACATAAAGTATCTCGTATATCTCATGTCCTTGCCTTATCTCCCGTTAGTATATATTTTAGACACCCCACTCGACTTGAGTGAGTGAGTGAGTTTAGTTTTACGCCGCACTCAGCAATATTCCAGCTATATGGTGGCGGTCTGTAGATAATCGAGTCTGGCACTCGACTTGAACAGGTGGTATGGTTCATTAGCTAGTTATTCAGACTGCTGGCCATATTCCAACAGTTTACTTATACTTTCAGGTAAAATTCCTTATCCAGATCTACATAAGTCATATGAGCTGCTACATGTGACCATACCGATTTTTCTGATCTGAATGGTTTTTTCCTAATGTTGACAATGTTCCTGTTTCCGCTCCATGTGGACTGATGTCACCAGCTTATATCAAGGCTTATGAAACTATTTACTTTTAGAATTCAGAGAAATTTGTGTTAGCCTTCCCATGACGATTTACACTGACATTCATTTGGGTGTTTGGTTTTACAAACAATGCAGAATGGTAGTTAGAGCAACTAAGACGTAAACAGTCTCCATCACATCATGTCATAAGTGTCAACACAATATTCCATGAATGTAGCTTACTCTGCTGGGATTTCATGATGTCAGGCAAAGGCAAACAACAGACCATTAATGAATCTGAAACATGTGTTTTTACTGGTTTTAATGAATTGTTCATGATTTCATCGTTGAAAATATATGTTTGGTTGGTATGGTCTAGGCAGCCTCAGACATGCATGAAATTGATCCATCACCCTCGTCTTGAACTGATTTCCATCGTATGCGTATGTCCATAAAACCTTTATTAATGCAGAAATACAGTATGAAATATACACCATTTAACCCTTGTAGCATAGTTAGTGCATCTAATCAGTATATACAGGTACATTTATCTTACCTCACACATACATGTAGCTTTCTGATTGGCTGAGCGCTCTTCTATTATTTTCAATGTACCCCGCTTACAAGCGAGTAACATTTCAATGTTCCCCGCTGTCAATGGTAACTCATTTGATACTCCGTGGTAGTAATTCTTCATCTCGAATAACATTGAATCACGTATGATGTACGGAAATTATCGATGTTTTGCAAATGCAAGTCGATGGAAGGGAGATAACTCTAAATCTGTTTTTCTTGTCAGCAAAATCTAGCGATGGCTACAAATAGATTTGTACCCGTGCTTCAAACAATTCAAAATTAACATAAAGGTGTTCGGTAAGATAAATACGTTGTTCACTGGTTCCTCGGGGCCCATGGGTTGATGTACCCTCGATGTTTGTTTATGCAAACATCGAGGGTACATCAACCCATGCCCCCCTCGCGACCAGTGAACAATTTATAGTGTATGTACGTGTGTGCTGTAGATATATCACTACAATCTACTACACCAAAGTAAAATCATTTAACGAGCAGTTTTCGAGGAGAGTTTTCATTACAGATTGCATCATCTGGCTGCTATGATTGGATGATTAAGTGTAACATTGTTTTTTACACGCATCCAGTAATTGAAATTGACAATTTTAGCAACATTTAGTGCTATCTTTTTCAAAATGATGACGTATGCTGAATGTCTCCACGGAATATTCCAAGCGAGTGACGAGCTTCCTGTACTCAGAAAAGGAACTGGGTAAGCTGGTCACTGTGCACACATGTGCATGTATCAGCTGCTGAGGGCTTAGTGAATTAAAACACTATATAGAGTCACTATAAAAGTCTATAAGAAATCGTTTGGATTTGTGTAACGCATTGCCATTGGTTTGGAGTAACGTTCCTTGTTTGTAGGAACATTGTATCTTTGACTAAATACTTACCTCGCCCAGAAATACAACCCATATACATGTGTTCTTGGCTGCAGATATATGAATCTTGTTTATATATACTGAGTCAAAAAAGAAACTTCAATTCTTTCTTCAGGGCACTATAAAAGAACAAGAGATGGTAAGATGGTTAAATTGTTATTATTTCATTGCTGAGATCTGTGTGATGTACTCGATACAGTGACAGTGCCATAATCAGTTCCATTAGGCTACACCGCCGTTCCAAAACATGGGTATACAGAATGTCAAGTCACAAGAATAAAAATTCGAAATTTCTGAGTTTAATATTGTGTATGGCCGCCCCGCGCATTCACCACTGCCAAACACCGTCTCCTCATCGACTGCCTGATGCTTGTGAACACGTGGTTGGGGATTCTGCGCCATTGCTCTTGCAAGGGAGCGCCAAGTTCCTGCAAATTCTGAGGTTGGTTCCTAAGACCACGAAGCCTTCTCCCAAGTGCATCCCAAACGTGCTCTATTGGATTAAGGTCAGGGGACCTCGATGGCCATGACGTTGATTCCAGCGTTTTGAAGGAAATTTCGTGTCAACATCGCGGTATGCGGCCGAGCATTATCATGCTGGAACTGCAGACCTGGGCCATGAGCCGCCATGAAAGGAACGAGTTCAGGGGTGAGCACCTGGTCGCGGTAAGCAGCAGCTGTGAGGTTTCCACGGATGACCAGAAGTCGGGAACGGTTGTTCCCACAGAAAGCACCCCACACCATGCAACTTCCGCCCCCGAATCTGTCGACTTCCTTTACACAACATTGGGCATAACGTTCACGACGTCGTCTCCAGACTCTATGCCTGCCGTCCGCGAATCTGAGGGTAAACCTGGATTCATCGCTAAAGACGACTCGATTCCAGTCTCTCTGGGTCCATCGGAGGTGACGTTGGGCCCACAGCAGACGTTGACGTTGATGAAACGGCGTCAATATTGGCCCACGATATGGACGTCGAGAATGGAGATTGGCAGCCCGCAACCGATTTCGAATGGTCTGTGAGGACAGTCGACCTCTAAACATCTCAGCCCTGGTTCGTGTAGCCGGCAGAAATCTGTCACGTAGGTGACGTAGGACGATTTGACGGTCTTCTGCTCGTGACGTCACACGTGGACGACCCGACCTTGGGCGATCAGAAGTGGTGCCAGTTTGTTGTAGACGACCTCGCAAGTCATACACAGTATGACGGCTGCATCCCATTGCTCTTGCGACGTCAATAACTGATCTTCCCGCTTGCAACATGCCAACGGCACGTTCACGTTGCACATTTGACAATCGTGGCATTTCAAGTACCGTAAGAACTGTGGTTTAAAAGTGTTTTTTCAATTCTTGAGGCCAATGCAAACACGTGCATACGAAGAAAACTTCGATGCGAAGATCACGTGATCGACTGCACGTGCAAAACCTGATTTGGCACTAACGTCATTTGCACGAGGAATGGATGGGTTTGAGTGGGTTTTGCTAACGTTTTTCTAGAGTCGAAAGATAGGGATCCCATTTCGGATACATAGATGTATCATCAGAGAAAAATTATTCATTATTTTTAAAAATTACATTTTGTGAAGTTTCTTTTTTGACTCAGTTTATATTTGGTGCAGTTTGTACTTGCAAAAGTGCGATATTGCTTCTAATACATACAAACTGTAGCACTGATTAATCTTGAAAAGCAAACTCTGATCCTAGTTGGTTGTATTTTTCGACCTGTTATGGGCATGTTGGCATGGGACACTACATATGGTTAATCTCGCAATGAAAACTTTTATCCTATCCTATTCGAAATACAATGATAAGGTATTAAGCTCGTTCCCATTTCTAATCAAGTTTATGTCCCGCGTGGGATATTTTAATGTCTTTAGTGAGTTGCATCAGGGACCTAATGCAGATAAGGAATGGGAACTAGTTGTTTTTATGCTACATCTGACCAACGCTCTTTTGTCATCAATTCATAAAATACCAACATAATTTCACCATGTTCATTTGTCCCTAAGTCATTGAAGTGCGTATGGATAAGGAAAATGTGAAAAGATAGTCCACAGATAGTTCATAGTTATCACAGTGTGTCTTAAGGCAGGCCTTGTGTTGTCGTTGAAGTTTTGTGGTTGGGTCCTTCTTGATCTTCTTGTAGGTAGTTAAATCCTGCAGCACGTTGTCCACCATGGAGTGGAAGTTGGGCTGGTCTAACACAACAATGGCCCTACCCTTCTCCGCTGGAACAATGACGATGTCTGGGTCTTGCTTCAGTTGCTTGATAATACCAGACTAGACCAGCGTTCCGCATTGGAAAGACATATGAACCCAATAATTCTTTAACAAGAAAGAAACACGTTGACATTATATATTACAATGATGATTACTAAGTATATTCTCTCCTTTAAGAACTTCCTTAAAGAGTGACTTTATGTTTTAACCTATGTAGCTGAAGAGTGTTATATTTATGCAGTATACAGGAATGCTGTTGTCTTTGCATTTGGTCCATTTTTTAGTTATTGGAGTAATCAACATATTCATTCCATAAACGCCCCAAAAGAACACAGTTTCGTTTCCGTCTGGAAGGAGCTTTAAAACTGTGTAAGCTGAACATCACGTTTCTCGGTATCTTCTGATTCTTCAGCCTGGGTTTGTGGTGCATCTGAATCGGAATACTCCTTAACGACCCCATTTCTCAGTAAAAGGAAAGCTGCAAAGAAGCCAGCTGACGATAGAACTTGAAATCCTGTGTCCATCCCTTTCACATGATATCGTAGGCTTGGGATATCATACACTGCGCATGCGCCGACATCACCACACGTTGTTTCCCAGAGGATGCACGTGGTGTCAATGGCCCTTCCATAAACGATAGGTGATGGAAGATAACCTGGGAATAGAATAAATTATCATAAGTGACACCAGAATATACACTCTCTACTTTATATACATTCAAACTCACATTCCAGTTAACCTTTAAAGTTGCTACACATACGTACATATAATGAATCAGTTTGATTTACAGTCTGTCCAAGATGAAGCATATTCATTTCTTATATGTATAAATGGAACCTACATGACACAAATGATTACAATACAAATAGAAGGATGCTTAAGTAGTAGCATTTGTTACAGCTCGGAGTGGTATTGTTTATATTCATGTGTATAAACTGTCATTACGAGTATGTAAGGGTATTCCGAGGATTTTAGTCTCTTCTACCCGCTTTCATCGTGGGGTTGATAGAGTAAGATAGCTCCGTGGTAGTCAAATAACAAGCAAACACGAGCAGTCCCCTTATACCTTTCTTTTACTTACCGACAAAACTACTTAGGAAAGACGATATAGCCACAGCCATGGATTTGTCCCTCGGGTGCACTGTTCTTTATAGGAATCAAAAAAGCAAATTATCAGTCAAAGTAATTAAGTTATCAAATATATAGTTAATTAAAAAGGACATAAGGGAAACGAATCCTTACCGAATCGTGTCCGCACAATATCTTCCTGTAAATATATGGCACAAACGCATTTCCATTGCCTATGAAATTTCCACCTGCTTGCATTCACTGGGGTAGTCAAAATTTGATATATGCTGCAGCTTTGTTGAAACACATGAAGGAATTTGCAGTTAAGCATTAGATTATAACAAACTTTGCTGCGATTGGAACCTTGGAATACAGTCTAAGCTGTTGAGCGTGGGATAGCTGCTTTTGTGTCTGGTGGCAGGAAGTCAGAACAAGCTTCTGACCATGTCTTCTATTGGTCCAAGTGCAGCCATGTTCAATGAAATTCCCAGGCCCAGTCAACAAAGGCCAAGTATACTCACTCATTAAAGAGAACGTTTATGTTTATCCAAAAATGTTTCAAGAATTCAAACAAACCTTCGTCTTTGAACGTCTTAAAACACTACTGGATTATTTGTTTTCGAGACTATCCTGTAAAAGTATACCACTCGATTCGCTTGATGTTGCATCCGGTTGAACAAACAGCTGCAATGGAGATGGGGGATCTAATGGGAATGGATAGCAGAACAAATACACCATAAGAGTCTGCCCATCCATGTAGAGGAGGCCAACACGTGTTCATCCTCATTGTATACCCTTTAGTCCCTTTGCCCAAATCTGTAAGACAGTTCAAAGGCATTTGTTCTACACGGAGTTTGGAAAGCCAAAAATTCTCCATTGTCAGAACAAAATTGATCCCTCGAGTTTATATATTCTATACAGAATTGTTGGGTATATTCTTGTGGATAGAATTTGCGGGAGCTGATGGCGTCCTGGGCCCCGTTTCACAAAGCTCTCGTAAGCCTAAGATCTCGTAACTTTTCTCGTAGCACAATCTTACGATTTTATGGGCGTTTCACGAAACTCTCGTAGGCTTACGATACCTTAAATTTACAATAAAAGTTACGGTAAGTATTTGCTCTCGTAAATGAGCTTTATTTGCTTAAGTCAAAAACAAAATGGCGTATTATATGTTGTGTTTTAGCATTGCGTTTAAATTTAATTAAGCTGAAATCAGAAGAAGCCTACGAACGAAATATCGACTCGATCATCACTTACTTTTCAGCGATCTCATTCGAGAGACGCTTTTTGCCAGCAGCTGTGATGACTGCTGAAAATCTACCAAATAGAAAACTGCTATTGTGGGCCACTTCGGATGTTAAAATGTCCAATTCAAAGACGAGAAATTCGTTTTTTCTAACCCTTCCCTTTGACTTCTAGTCCTCCACTGTACGGTGGGTTGTCGTCTGTTTACGCAAAGGGACGTAACTCGCAATCCATGTTCTTTTCAAGTCTTCGCAGCAAAAGAGTTCGCAATACGATAGCTAAAAGTTACCGTAAGTTTTCTCGTAACAACGAGAGTACTAAGATACTTTCGTGAAACGCCCTTAGCGTGGTATCGTAAGATATATCGTAGGTGTTACGAGATCTTAGGTCTACGAGAGCTTTGTGAAACGGGGCCCTGTATTGGATGTGTGAATGAGGTTCTGAAGAGGTCTTTGTGAAATTAATGTACCATACTTCAGTTCAGAAATTGCAGTTATTGACGTACCCTACTTCATTTCGGAAGTTGAGGTACCATACTTCAGTTCTGAAATTGACGTATCATACTTCAGATCCGAAATTGACGTTTCATACTTCAGTTCCGAAATTGACGTTTCATACTTCAGTTCCGAAATTGACGTATCATACTTCAGTTCTGGATTGAAGTACCATACTTCAGTTCTGAAATTGAGGGAGCAAACTTCAGTTCCGAAATCGAAGTACCTTACTTCAGTTCCGAAATTGAAAAAGAAGGTCTTTGTGAAAAGGTACCTGAAATGTCAGAATGAAATTGAAGTACCATTCTTCAGTATGTATTGAAATAACATACTTCAGTTCTGAACTACAAAGAACCAAACTTCAGATCTGAAATTGAAGTACCATACTTCAATTCCGAAATTGACGTACCACACTTCAGTTCAGAACTTGCGTCATTTGCATGCTCAGCAGTCAATCGGTAGTAGATGTAGAAACAGTTTTAACAGTTAACAGTGTCCAGTTTTCTCTGACAACTCTTTGATTATAAAAGACACATTGCATGGTTTTAGTCTCTCAAGTGAGGTACCATACTTCAATTAAGAAAGTGATGTATCATACCTCAGTTCCTAAATTGACGTACCACACTTCAGTTCTGAACTTGAATCATTTGCATGCTCAGCAGTCTATCGGTAGTAGATGTAGAAACAGTTTCAACAGTTAACAGTGCCCAGGTGTCTCTGACAACTCTCTGATTATGAAAGACACATTGAATGTTTTAGTCTGTCAAGTGATGTGTAACAGAACTTATGATATAATTCAAGAAACATGGCTTATGTTATGTGACAATAAGACGTTTGTTGAAAGGACACACGATCACACATATGGATTGTACATCATGTACATGCTTGCTTTTTAGGTAAACGTTAAGATGTGAATCATACATTTTGCACACACTCACGTCGAAAGGAAAGGAATTTGTTCTACTTGTTCCAAGTGTCCATATTATTTGAAAACAAATCCTTTGGACTCAACATGCTTAAAGTATAAAATCCAGTTACACGCAACAACTGTTGTTAGATAGCACGTTAAACAAACGTTTAACTGGTTGGAAAGTTAGTTTGTTGCTGATACATCGGATAACAAAGAATCAATGACATTCACTCCTGTGTGTTTCTCCCTGAACAGTGAGGTACCATGTCATGGTAATCATCAGCAGCTGTCTCTAACTGGACAAAGACGAAAGTATCCGTGAACACATCAATGTGATGGTGCTTTCCAGTTTGAGTGAACATAAGTGTCTACAAGGCTACATACTAGCTTAAGCTTAAGCTATAGTAATTCTCTGTGCGTTTCTAGACCTAGATGGACACCTTGTGTTCCCCAGCCATGTTTTGTATCCCAGGTGCCCAGATAAAGTATAATAGTTTCTATTATGATTCCTGTAATATAAAAAGGAAACAATGTAAGGAGGGGCACTAATTTACTTAACTATATTGGGACTAAATCTCTTTATATTTATCTGATGTCAGATGTATTCTTGTAAAAATTAACGGTCTCGCAAACAGGTGTGTCTGTGCGTATGTGCGTGTGTGTTTGTATTAAAAATACCTACCTCATTAGTGTCATCATGACAGGGACTAAGGAAATTGTCGCCGCCAAGCCGGACACCAGGTCAACGATGACGTAGGGATACAGGTAGGGACAATCTAATGGACATTTGCCCACTGTGCCTTCGTTACCAGGAATCTCGCTGCACCCCATGTATGTCTGAAATAAGACCAGCATACAACACAGATACTTATAAATGAAAATATATACCAAAAGACACCTGGAATTATCTGTATTTAACTGTGAATAATTAAATGACACTGATGAAATTAGATACCAACTAGACATTTTAGTGACTCTCAGTGCATATTTGAGGTGACATGTCGCTCTACTAAGAGTGAGATACCCACAGTGCAGTTTTCATACTGGCATCCCACACAGGGAGTGACATACTTACTATACCATTCTGAGACTGGCGTCCTAACATACAGAGAACCTCACCTGGAGTGAGATACGTACTGTACCGTTCTGAGACTTGCATCCTGCCATACAGGGATTGATATACGTCACTCCATCAACTCCACACAGTGGCATGTACTCCGTTGCATCACAGCTGCAAACAGTGTCGTTTACCATGGAATATCTGAAACAGAATTATTTACTATAGTTTGGCATGAAATGCATGTGGACCCGGTTTTTTTTGTAAATATCTCTTCATCCAATGACCCAATCGATCTCAAACTGTGCAAGTGGATCTTTTGTCAGACAACCTAATCACATTGTAAATCACCGATTTTATGCATTTGTATTAAAGAATCTGTCTATGTAACTGTCAACAAAATAAACAGCAGAATGCAGACGGCTTGCAGAGGGAGGGAGCCAATGACCTGTAACAGCGGCAGTGTTGGGTCATAAAGGTAAATGCACGTGCAGTTCATGATAGTTACCTGTGCACTGCACAGTGATAGACCGTTTGGATCATTCACATTGACTACTTCTAGCTGTCATCATGAAAGCTTATTCAGATGATGCTAAACGTTTAATTAGAAATGTGTTGAATTTTTTTTTAAAAAGAGAGCAAACGTAGCAAACCAATTGATAAGGTGTCGGATTACATGAAACGTACAACTTTTGCTCTTGCCATGAAAAAGAACATCGTGCTAAAAATTTTGAAAAATAAACCAACAACCAATAAACAAAACCTTGTACAAAAAGGTAGGCATCCAAAGTTAGATTCTTTTGACATCAGGGTCATCAGAGTTGTCATTCGCCGGCTATTTGCTAGAAATGAACACCTGTTCACAAGAAAGTTAAAACACATCCTTGCAGAGGATCACGACATTAATGTTTCTAGGTTTATGCTAAGCAAACTACTGGTCAAATTTGGATACAAGTACAAGAAGGTAGCAAACCAGAAACTTGTAATGTGTGAGAGATCTGATATTGTGAAAATAAGGTGTAACTATCTGAGAGAAATGAAGCAGGCAAGAGAGGATGGGTTCGAACCCATATATCTGGATGAGACCTGGGTCAATGCAAACCATACTGCTGCCAGACAGTGGCTACCCACTGATCCCAGTGATGGTAGGAAAATACCAACAGGCAAAGGTGAACGTTTAATCGTTCTTCATCCTGGTTCCCACCGTGGATTCCTACCTGGGTGTGATCTGGTATTTCGGTCAAAAAGCACAGATGGTAGGGACTATCATACAGAAATGAACTCAACGGTTTTCACACAGTCTGTTGAGGAACAATTGTTGCCAGCTCTGCCTTACAAAAGTCTTGTTGTCATGGACAATGGTCCCTATCACAGTGTTCGAGATCCAAACAATAGGTGCCCAACTTCCAATACAAAGAAGTCAGATATGCAGCAATGGCTAACAAATAACAATATACAATTTTCAATTAAGGCCACTAAACCACAGTTGTACTCTTTGATTAAACCTAACAAACCTCCACCCACATCTAACATTGACAACATGCTACGCCAACACGGCCATAAGGTCTTGAGATTACCACCGTACCACTGTGATCTCAACCCAATCGAACTTATCTGGGGAGACCTTAAAAGTACAGTGGCCCGGAATAATCAGTCATTCAAGTTGAAAGATGTCAAGCACATTATCAACACTGCTATGTGTGACATTGACATTGCACGCTGGCATGCATGTGTTGAACATGTCAAGAAGGTGGAGAAAGAGTACTGGCTCAAAGATGGCTTGAAGGAGCAAACAGTTAATCCAGTTGTCATTCGTCTGGACACTGATGACTCCTCTGTGGATGAACGGAGTGAACTTGATGAAGTTTAATTCTGTTATTATATTTACAGATAATAATAGTATCCAGCCAGATATGCTCAAAGAAATATAACTCATTTTAACAATGACAGCACTGACTACTTCCAACGACTTATAGTGTAACATGAAACACTCATTTCACATAAAATTATCATGACAATATAAATATTAACTATCTATATGCTTAAAGCTATTAGAAATGCATTGCTTCATTTAGAATGTGAACGACATCACAACATAACACTTTTGTCTTCATTCTATCTTTTCTTCAATGAGTGTGCATGATTGTGTGTGCTTGTGTCCGAGGGAACGGGGCTTTAACAGTTGTTGAGTTCTAACCATAGGTGGTCCGATTAATGATTTAGTGTAAATATACTTTCTGTGTTCTTTAAATGCATTTCCACTTAGGTACTGCATTAACAAAATATGACATTAACATTACAAATTTAAAGATTTTAACCTACAGAATAATTCTCACTAAAGGGTTTTGTGGTTAATGTTGAACAACTCAGAGAAACAAATTCCGTATGATGATTAACAGTTGGCACCCACCTTACCCTATTCACGACCTGTGACATCTCTTCATACCTGTCACGTGCATAGCTGACCTACATTGACGAACGTTGACCTTTATGACCCAACACTGCCGCTGTTACAGGTCATTGGCTCCCTCCCTCTGCAAGCCGTCTGCATTCTGCTGTTTATTTTGTTGACAGTTACATAGACAGATTCTTTAAAACAAATGCATAAAATCGGTGATTTACAATGTGATTAGGTTGTCAGACAAAACATCCACTTGCACAGTTTGAGATCGATTGGGTCATTGGATGAAGAGATATTTACAAAAAAACGGGTCCACATGCATTTCATGCCAAACTATACAGGCGTATTTATGTATAAGTTTCATAATCTTGAAAACAAACTTCAGAATATATTTCAGCATACATTCAGAAAAGTTAAGTGTATGCTGTATTCAACCCATCATATTACTTTTTAGAGTAAGGTAATATCTTTGCCTGATAGTAGTTAAAGACGAAAGACCAAAGATACCGTATATTAATTTGTATTTGATATATTGGGAAAAACAAGCAATTTCGTATCCGAACCTGAATGTATTTGAACATGTATCAAGAATCAAATATAATCATGAACAAGAATGGCATTCAGAAATTTTTAATAATCCTCTTCCTCGTTCAAATCGAATTTCTTCTAAATATTTATATTGATAAATCTCGTAATGCACTCTCCCGCTGTCGTTGTTGTTCTCATACACTCCAAACTGAAATGGTCAGATATCAATATGTCAAGGGAGACCAAAGACTCTGTAACCTGGTTCTCTGTAACCTAGGAACAGAGTTACATCGAAATGGAATACCACGTTATGTTAGTTGCGAACATAAAGACATCCAAAGAAAATATGACACTGAATAGGTTTAACATGAAGAATCCACGAAGAAACTTTCACAACTTATATTCATGCCATAAATGTCAGATGTAGTCTGTGAACCTGACTATCTGAATTTACAATGTCGATGACCTACAGTGCGTAATAAATAAGTTCAAACTCTCAATGTTCTGATTCTAACAACTGGCACCTACCTGTTTTTCACCAAGAAACTATATGTTTTGGTTATGTGAGCCCTGACACTTATCTCTGTCACCTTAACCCTCCCCATATGTAATAACTACCTCTTACCTGCTGTCACCTAGACCTTTGATGTTCTGTTCGTCGCAACCAAAAACCAGCGTGAGAGAACAGAGGACAGTTGCACTGAATACCAGTATGGTCGTGAGCTTCATGCATCCAATGCTGGTAAGCCGAAATCTGCTGGTGATTATGCCTCCAAGAAGGGTGCCCACTAACGCCCACATCAGCTCTAGAATACCTTCAACAAATTCAGGTATGGAAATGTGAACTTTGATGAAAAGTGAATGTTTTTTAGTTTCCACTTTTAAACAATCATGTAACCCTGTTCATATACATGTACCTTATATGTGTCTCCTCCTGGTTTACAGATAAAGAATCCATCTATTTTAAACCGAAAACAACATGTGAGATCCCCTGTTTACATGTATGAATCAGTTTACACGGCTCGCATTTGATTCAGTCACAGAAAGCTTAGAGAGACATGTTTACATAATATGAGCCAATACACAACTTTCAAGTGGAGCTAGGACATGCCAGTCTCAATGTAACTGACCTGCGTCCTACTCACTGATGCACACGTTAAAACAAAATGTCAATAAAACTGTCGTTGCTCCTTACTCAATATGAAGTTCGCCTCAGCTGCCGGCCTTGCAAACTGGGTCATGATGTATTTTGGAGCAAAGCTGAAATAGCCTCCAACAAAGAACAAAGCACTGGCGTTCCCAAAGAGAAGACAGGCGACTACTGGGTTCTTCATTATCCGTAATATGGACCTTGGCATGTCTGCGGGAAGAACAGAAATAATTCGGTTAACAGAACAAGACAAATATTAGCTACTAACTTCAGAATGGATCTTTATGTGAACGGTTCCATAAAAGGATATTTCAGCAAGAAGCCGATTGATGAGGAGAGATGATAGGTAACAGACATCACATACCGAAAATGGCGGCATTTGTATGTGTTGGAACAAACAGGCAATGGAAGTAATATGTATAACCACATGGAATTTGCTTTGGGAAAGTATCCTCTTAGTGTCGTAGACATGGTTCCCTTTTTTACCCTAATGCACCCCCTCAATACACTTCAAGAAAGAAAAAGAAACGCATAAGAAACGCATTTTAGAAGAATAAATGTGTTAAGAGCAATTCTAGTACGACATTGTGTGATACTTAATTCTGACTGGCTGAGGGCTCATCAAAACCGTACTTAAATGGCAGTATAAGGACCGCTAATTAAAGTAAGCCTAATCCCACTAAAGAAACTTCGAAGCAGGAAACTTCTACAGGTGGCGATAATTCGTTTAACATTTGATAAATTGATAAGTCAGTAGGTGCCAACTCGAACGCTAGGTGTATGTCTATTTGTATGAATAGGAAAGAAAAAAAATGGACATAAAATAATCCTGAATTTATCTCTTTTTCTTAAAAATGTTATATTGCATAAATAATTAAAAAATAGAGCAATTAGGTTTTGATAATCCAGCACATCACAATGCCATTTGAGATGGCGATTTAGTTAAAATTGGAAACAAACAAAGACACTGTAGATCTTCAAAACAAAGTATGGTTTGATTTGACCCTGGGGGTTGGACGAAGGGGCTGTGAGAACCAGCTGGAGTTGTCTGTTCATTCATTTGTTGTCGAAACAGACGATGGTGGCTGTGAGTCCATATCGATAACCCATAACGAATCCACGAAAAACCATCCTGAGGACGTCGGCGATTCCGAGTACACAAAGCCACGTACATACGCGACAGGAACCCCCATGTGTCCTGTTACATCCTTTCGAAAGTACATGTCCAAGTTAAATCCAGAAAACAAAGCCCTTTTTCAGCAGCCTCGAAAGAATGTGTGAGAGAATGATCAAGTGTGGTACACAAGTAAGCCCCTAGGTCACAACACACTGAAAACGATGATGAAACGGATCTCGGCCACTTGCGAGTTGAGTCGGGTGTACACAAACCATTGTGTTAGACCCACCACCGTTACATTGCTCTCGCATACTGGGGTGAAAGCAAGGAAAATAGTTAAGATTAATGGGTACAAAAACTGACAGAATTTGTCCTCGTATGACACTGATTCGTCAGCAGCGCAAAATGTATTCCGTCATACTTCACATCGGGTATGGATCCAACGGATATGGCATCGATAACACACGTCCTAACCTGTCCGCTTCCGTCCCGGCCGTAATGCCTAGCCCTTCCACTTCCACTGTCAATGTTTCCAACATAAAAGCTGGCATGTCAAGTCTTTTCCAAATTTGGAATAGTAGCGTGATCATCAAACATTAGGTAGCAGCGACAAACCTTAGCGAGTTCACTACTTGAATTGAGGCGAGTTGGATATCGCTGGATATCGCACCCCACACTATGACACTTCCACCACCGAATCTGTCGACCTGTCGAATGCGATTTGGGGCAAAACGTTAATTTATCCGACGGTAGACACGCTGTCTTCCATTTCGCCGGTGAAGAAGAAATCGTCAACTGCAGGCTGCGACTCCCCGGCTTCAAGGCGGCCAATAGCAATGTTTCGATTGGCGGCACTCAGTCGTAGCATGATGATTTCCTCTTTTCCAGGCAAAAACGAATAACAAAATGAAACACAACGTTCACTACAAGTGACCAATTACGCATGCTTTTCCGCTTACCTGCGCGTGTATTTTGCTTTGCTTTCTTGGTGACGCTTAGGCGAAAGAAATAGCATATTTGTATTGAATTTGCTGCAAAATCACCTCTGCGTTTCATTTTGTGAAGAGTGTACGACCTCAGAGCGAAAATTGTAAATGAGTAATTACAAGCATGTTACAAGGTACCACACCATGGCGTCTGGTACTTTTCATACCCAGAAAGAAGGTGCTGCAGAGACTCACCGACTATATCTTTTTAGTGATTTGGTCGTGTCGATATCTTCAACCGTTGATTTCTTCATGTGCATTGGAAAGCAGCCTAAGGGTACAGCAAGAAAGAGGGCTGCACATCCGAAGATCAGGTACCCGATCCACCATGCACTTATCCACTGGGGGTGATGGCTGTCTAACTGGGACCCTTGAAACCAAACCATACAACTGGTATATATTTCATAAAAACGTGTTGTGATTGTATGGCGTAAAGAACATAGATTCCAATAATGTAAGACAAAAAGTTGGTAAGTCCCCTGATCAAAAAACCTTTATTTGAATAAAAAGTCGTGATTTGGCATTCCTTGTTTTTGTAAAGAAAGATTGAATGCAAGAACATAACCAACCGCTTAGATCAATGGGAATGTCACTGATCCATCCACCAAGACCGAGTGCAACAGCTGGTCCAAGGAAAGCTATCGCCATAATGATGCCTACAAGACCACGAATACAAAACGAATCAGTACATTAGCTATAAAATAGTTCCACTACATGCACTCTTTCTGCTACACATATATCCTTTTACTCTACGCACTCCTTCCGCTCCACACAATCCTTCCGCTACTCACTCTCCTTCTGCTGCACACAAAACTGTCGCTATAAGCACTCCTTCCTCTACACACAATCCTTTCGCTTTTCGCAGTCCTTCCGCTACACACAATACTTTCGTTATAACCATTCCTTCCACTACAACTAATCCTTCCACTGCACACAACACTTTCTCTTTTCACAGTCCTTCCGTGGCTGTATCCTCACAGGGGGTTGAAGCATTGTAAAATTATTGTCCTCCTGTGGGGGGTACATAAGTCCCAAAACATTCAAACTAAATTTAAACATACCATTAGTTTTAAGCGTAGAATATGTGTTATTTTAACTTACGGCTAAATTGTCTAAACTGAAGGGATGGTGTAAATCCAGCTAGGGTCCATGCAGGAAGCAAATGTACTGTAAGTCCCCATGGTCCCTAGTATGGTGATCTACCTTCAGTTGTTAGCAATCTATAGCCTGTTTTTATATTGTATTGTCATTTCTAGTTCCAATATTTTAGATTTAATTGCTAGTTTTAAATTGATATCTGTGATACACCAGTAGTTTTACTGTTCTTCGTCAACAGGTTTTTTAATTTCTAACTTTATTCATCTTTAATATAATTATAAAATGTTCTCGTCACGATATGGCTGAAATATTGCCGATGTGACGATAAATATTAACTCACTCACTCACTCACAGTCCTTCCACTACACACACTACTTCCGATACTCACACGACTTCCACTACACACGCTAATTCAACTACGCACTCTCCTTCCGCTACTCACACTAATTGCGCTACACACAATGCTTCCTCTATACCCTCTCCTTCCGCTATGCTACTCAGTGTCCTTCTGCTACCCACACGACTTCCACAAAACACACTACTTCCACTACACAACTACTTCCGTTACACACGCTTCCACTACACACACTACACACACTACTTCCACTACACACGCTACTTCCACAATAGTCACTACTTCCACTCCACACACTACTTCCACAGCGACAATAGTCGCTTCTTCCACTAGACACACTACTTGTACTCCACACACTACGCCCAGAATATACACTACTTCTCTATACACACTACTTCCGCTCCACATGCTACTTCCACAGCACACTGCTTCCACAGTAGTAGCTCCTTCCACTAGACACACTACTTCCACTACACACACTACTACACACTACTTCCACCATACACACTACTTCCACTACACACACTACTACACACTACTTCCATTGCACACACTACTTCCACCATACACACTATTTCAACTAGACACGCTCCTTCCACGACACACACTAGTTCCACTACGAACGCTTCTTCAACTGTACACACTACTTTCTCTACACACACTACTTCTACAATAGTCACTACTTCCACAGCACACTGCTTCCACAATAGTCGCTTATTCCACTACACACACTACTTCCACTACACACGCTACTTCCACCACACACACACTACTACACAGTACTTCCACTACACACGCTCCTTCCACTAAACACGCTCTTCTTCCTCTACACTCGCATGCGATACCTTTTAAACCCGCGATCTACAAATACACTTTCTTATACATGCACTGCGTCTTCCAATCAGATACCGAAAGGTTTCATTTGGATAATTACATAAAAACTTCCACTTTACAACGAACGATGTTTTTTCTCTATTTTATTATGAATCAAAATATTTATCACGTTTACACTCATTTTATAAACTCTCCTCTTCACATCAGGTAAGATCTGAGAACGTACCTGTCAGTAAACTCGACTGCTGTTTGTCACGGGAATTATTTTCAACGTACGGTAAACCCAGGGAAAAGCGTGGGGATTTACCCACTCCTTGTAACACAATAAGCACGGCAAGCACATTGTACACCCAACGTCCGTTGTCAGTCGCTTGGTTCTTCGTGGCTGGACACCGCTCATGTTCCTGTACGGAATCCTGACACAATCGGGCACCTTGTGGAGAGGAATAGTTGGAGGCAAGATCATCTAAAGAAGGCAGCGATACAGGATCCATGACGTGTAAGAGGCCCGACATTGAAACAACAATACCAAACAAAGCCACTGCGCAGGACAGGATCCTAGGTATAAAACGCTTTCCCCCAAAATGGCTGAAGAAGAAAATAGCTGCAAGATAACCGATTTCGTTGCAGCTCATTAGGAGGCCACTTCTTGTACTGCTGAGTCCAAATTGTTTCTCTAATGCTGTGATCTGTGACGTTGTGTAGGGCTTGACTGACCCCAGCAACAGTGACGACACGCTGAACACGGCAGTGAAGCAGAGGATGTTGTTGAAACACCGTCGTGACTCAGCCATGGCGTTGACACTCTGTACGCT